GCCTCTCATTGGCATGCTCACATTTCCAACTGCTGTCTTCAAATACTCCTTCTGGCTCCACAGCTTCCCCTTTTAGCTACTTTGCTATCCCTCTTGTCCCTTTTAGCCAAGCAAGTAACCTACACTATTGGCATTAGTTCCTGACAACACAAAATATCAGACGGATGGGTGGAAGAAAAGAAGGATGGAAGGAAAAGTGGATGGAAGGAAAGGTGGTTAGACGGGCAAGCCATGAAATGCTGAAGTTTAGTTTGGGACACAAGCCTTTACCCTCATTGATAGTATGATTATCTTTTTACATTTCTCTAGCAATTTCAGCTTATATAATGCATTTATATCTGTTTTCTTTTTTAAAAAATTGTTTTTTTCCCATAGGTTTTGGGGGAACAGGTGGTATTTGGTTACATGAGTACATTATTTAGTGGTGATTTGTGAGATTTTGGTCTGCCCATCACCCAAGCAGTATACGCTGAACCCAATTTGTAGTCTTTTATCCCTCACTCTCCTCCCACCCTTTCCCCTCCAAGTCCCCAAAGTCCATTGTATCCTTCTTATGCCTTTGCATCCTCATAGCTCATAGCTTAGCTCCCACTTATGAGTGAGAGCATACAATGTTTGGTTTTCCATTCCTGAGTTACTTCACTTAGAATAATAGTCTCCAATCACATTCAGATTGCTGCAAATGCCATTAATTCATTCCTTTTTATGGCTGAGTAGTATTCCGTCATATATATGCACACACACCACAGTTTCTTTATCCACTTGTTGATTAATGGACAGTTGGGCTGGTTCCACATTTTTGCAGTTGTGAATTGTGCTGCTATAAACATGCATGTACGTATCTTTTTTGTATAATAACTTATTTTCCTCTGGGTAGATACCCAGTAGTGGAATTGCTGAATCAAATGATAGTTCTGCTTTTAGTTCTTTAAGACCTGAAACTATAAAAATTCTAGAAGATAACATCAGAAAAACCCTTCTAGACATTGGCTTAGGCAAAGATATTATGACCAAGAACCCAAAAACAAATGCAACAAAAACAAAGATAAATAGGTGGGATTTAATTAAACTAAGGAGCTTTTGCACAGCAAAAGGTACAGTCAGCAGAGTAAACAGACAACCCACAGAGTGGGAGAAAATCTTCACAATCTATACATGTGACAAAGGACAAATATCTAGAGTCTACAAGGAACTCAAATTATCAAGAAGAAAACAGTCTCATCAAAAAGTGAGCTAAGGACATGAATAGACAATTCTCAGAGGAAGATACGCAAATGGCCAACAGACATATGAAAAGATGCTCAGCATCACTAATAATCAGGGAAGTGTAAATCAAAACCACAATGCTCAAAATGCACAAACACTCAAAATGCACAAATGCAAATCAAAACCACTATGCTCAAAATGCACAAAATGCAAAAATACTCAAAATGCGCGAAACTACCTTACTCCTGCAAGAATGGCCATTACTAAAAAATAAGAAAACAATAGATGTTGGCATGGATGCGGTGAAAAGGGAACACTTCCACACTGCTGTTGGGAATGGAAACTAGTACAACCACTGTGGAATACATCTGTTACCTTGACTTTCACACATGCCTGGCACATAGTGACCAGAAAGGAAAAGTTACTTTTCTTCCCATTTTCCCTCTCTCATTTAAAATCGTCCTCCTCCTGCACTCCAGCCTGGGTGATGGAGCAAGACCTTGCCTTTTAAAAACTAATTACTTAATTAAATTAATTAAATAAAAATAAAGTCATCCTTCTTGAAAAAGGCCTGCGTAAAAAAAATCCTGTCCTCTGGTGATTGTTTCTAAGCTTTCTTCCAGTTCTGATGGTGGCTGTTAATACCTCTCCATTGTAGCCATCTAACTGTTCATTGTTCATTGCTCACAGGTCCCCAATTATAGACTAAGGATGGTGTTAAAAGTTTGATAGTTTTGTTACCATGCCTCCCGAGTCCTGCCCAGAACATACAAAACATTAATGTGTGACTGGGGTTGCCTGGAAAACACTGATTACCAGCTAGCTTCCAGACCTAATTGTTTTCACAGGAATTACAACTATTTGCCATTTGAGGCTAAGAAGCCCTGTGTCTACTTCGTCAGCTCTTGGGGAGACCAGACCTTCAGGCTGCACTGGTCCAACATGCTGGAGAAAATGGCAGACTTCCTGGTAGGTGACTCTGACAGGTGATGGATTAGAGGAATGGGAAGCTGGTCGGGGAAGGGATTTTTAAAATCCATCTAGTAGAGGATGTTAACCTCAGTTTAAATACAAATAAATGGGGGATGGTGCATTTGGAGGGCATGTGGATCCTACCATGCGTATCTAGGGGAATGAGATAACATTTTGTAAAATCCCTGGACTTGAATCAAACTACCTAAGTTCAAATCCCTGCCCTGCTTCTGGCTGTTATAGGATCTAGATATGGGCTGTTTTTCTAATCTCCGAAGGGCAGGAATTGACAACTTTCTCACAAAATTGATAGATCCTGGCTTCAACTAATAAAAATTCCTAAGTCCCTGGCATGGTGGACAACTACCTACAACATCAGACCCTGCCTGCCTCTACAGCCCCGTCTTTCCTATGCTCTTTCTCCCTTACTTTGTTCCAACCACACTGGTCTCCTTTGAATATGTTGAAAAAGCCAAATTCCTTTAAGCCTCCCAGCCACCACCATGCCTTTTCCTCTGTTACTTTTCTCCTCTCTAGTCTTCTTGTAACCCAGCCAAATTCCAGGGTTTAGTTTCAGACTTCCTCAGAGAAGAGTGTGACACCTTCTACCCCCTTATCTTCTTACATAACACCCTGTTTTGTTTTGTTTCGTTTTTGAGAAGGCGGTCTTGTTTTGTCACTCAGGCTGGAATGCAGTGGCATAATCACAGCTCACTGCAGCCTTGCCCTTCTGGGCTCAAGTAATCCTCCTGCCTCAGCCCCCCATGTAGCTGGGACCACAGGCATGTCCTACCACCCCTGGCTAATTTTTAAAATATTTTGTAGAGATGGAGTCTCACTGTGTTGCCCAGGATGGCCTGGAACTCCTAGGCAATCCTCCCACCTCAGCATCCCAAGTATTTGGAACTACAGGTGCACACATGCAACCATGCCTGATTTTTTTTTTCTTTGTTACCCAGGCTGGTCTGGAATTCCTGGGCTTAAGCAATCCTCCTGCCTTGGCCTCCCAAATTGCTGGGGTGTTAGGCATGAGCCATCGTGCCTGGCCAACGCCCTGTTCTTTTCCTTTGGACCACTTATACTTTACAATATATTTGTGTGTTTCTTTGTTAAATAACTATTTGCCACTGTTTCTATGGCATTTAGCATAATGCCTGGCACCTGATAGGGGCTAAATAATTATACATGGAATTGAATGTTTGAAAGTATTTTATACTGTAAACAGTGCCAATCAATATCCAATCAATGCTAGGTTTTCCCACCTCAGCCCCAGGAGGGAGAGAAAGCTGGGACCTCTGTTTCTCTGATATCTTGCTCCTTCCCTTTATAAATTCTTCTCTCCTACTCCCGTGCTCCCACTACTCTGTCCCACATGCCTTACCAGATCATCCTTGTCTTGACCCTCCTGTTCCACTAAAACCTATGCTAAGTCAAGAACAAATTTCTCTGTCCCATTTGCTTTATAATCCTTGTCTCCAAATTTGTAAAACAAAGTATTGTCTCTGACCATGGGGATTCCAGGCATCATGGAGATAAACTCTGAGAGTGGTCAGGAGACCTAGTCTGGGGTCACAGCACATGGAAGTCACAGACTGTCTTGGTTAGGATGGTCTTACTTCTCCTTCAGACAGAACAGATCGTTTATCTCCAAGAGTCTTGACATTTATCTCCAAGAGTCTTGACAAAGCAAATCAGAATTTTTTTCCTAGAGGCCCTAGTGACATTCATTTCTAATTCCTTTATCAATGTTGGCATCCCTGCCATGCTTGGCATATCATGGCTAACTACCATGAGAGACATGACTAAATGTTTACTAACTACCAGCGCTGTTTGAGGATATTCACACCCCCTACAGTGTTGTAGGTGCGTTCTGTTATTATTTCATTCTACAGATAAGGAAATTGGGCATAAATGGATTAATTCACTTGTAAGTGATAGAGCCTGGATTTGAACCAAGGCAATCTGACTCCGGAGCCCAAATCCTTAACTATGCCACAATGTTTCCTATTCTTATAGTGAAGGTGTAAAGAGGGGGAACATATGTCCCCAGGCACCAGACTTTGGGATATGGTAGAGAATACAGTTTCATAAATTCTAGCAAAGGCATAGTAACACATATACTTCCCCTTAGGTGCCATTTTCCTCCAGGTCACTAAATAGAATTCTAGAATTTAGTCCCAAAGGAAAAGTGTGATTATTAAGTATACAAGCATAGGGCCATTGCCATGTACAATCTGTCCCATTACCTGGCCCAAAACTCATGTAATCAGAAGAACAGGGAACCGTTTAATTTCAGGGATTATTCAATATGATTATATCCCTATGTAAAAAATTGACTTGAACATTACTTTTGAAGTTTTGGGTAATTATATCTAATTACTCTACATTGTTAGCTATTTCCCACATTATTAGGTTTCCCCAGAGAGTAGATTCTAAATAAATGGTACCCATTAGGGAATGGATCTGTAACAGAAACAATGAGTTTGAACAGTATGGGAGAAGACTTGTATCTGGACCAATTCCACTTATTAAAAGAAAGGTTCAAAGTTAGAATACAGTAGCATTTTCCAATTCAAGTACAAGAAAACTAGATAAATCTTCCTTCATTTCCAAAACAAAAAATTAGCTGTTCTTTCTAGTACATTACAATTAGTATCTCTACTACCAATCTCATTCACACCACCTCATCTCTCCACCCCTGTGGTTTGTTTTCAGGAAGAAAGTATAGAAGAAGTGAGAGATTTGATCAAGATTTCACAGGAGGCACCTGAAGAGAAAATGAAAGCAGTGTTCAGTGACTTCATCAGTCAGAGCAGGTACCGGGAGAGACAGCCGGCATAGGCAGAGCTGAGCTTCTGTGGACTCAGCTTTTAATTACCTTGAGAGAGTAGTTGATTTCCTATGCATTCAAATGGGTGTTTTAGAGTGCTGTATCCATCTTAATTTTGTTCAGTAATTTCACTGGTGCTTGTGGACTAACTACTGCTTCTCGACACTTAACTCAAACATAAATCAAAGGTGGAAAAAGCAAAGGAAGACTTACTACAGAGACTCTGTAGGAAACAAGAAAAATGCTAGTAGTGTTAGTGCACCAGCATGGTGCTGTGCATGTGGTAGACACTCAGCTACTATGTGACACTTAGATGGTTAGAAGCATAAGCTATTAATATATAAAATACTGTTGTTGGGCTGAGGGAAAACATCTCTTCTCTGAAGGCTCTCTGAAAAATCAACTATTTTCAGTGAAATATACTATTCAGTGAGCCTGAATAGTATATTTCAATATACTATTATAGGGGCTGAGGGAAAACCTTCCCTCCCCTCTCTGAAGGCTCAGTGGAAATCAACTGACAAAACGTAGATTAATAGGAGAAAAGGCATACAAATGTATGAACGTGCACAGGGGAGAACCACAGAGTGATTACTCAATTACCCAGTGCAGTACAGAAGCTTATATATCCTTTTTTAGACGGGATGGGGGAGATGGAGAATCTAGACATTTCTTTTGAGGGACAGTAAATCATTAGGAAGAATGAATGGACCAGGGAGATGGGAGGCCAACCTTAGGGGAAGGTGAGGGATGAAGCTGCACAGGAACACAGGTTGTCTTAGTTTTTATACAAAGTCCCCCAGGTAATCTCTTGGAGCTGACCTTAGAAGAACAGATGCAAAGTCTTTCAGGGCAGGTGATGATTCCAGTCTCTTCTCTGTTGGTTGATCTTTCCTGGTTATTTGATGAGACCTCTAGGGAGGGAGTCTTAAGACAATCACTTTTAAGCTTTCTTAGTCTGAGAGCAAAATGTAAAGAGTCTCTCCTGGTGCTTCGGAAAAGAGGATCAGAGAGACAGGGAGACATGGAAAAGGTCAGAGAGAAACCCTGGTTCTGAGGCTTATTTCTGAGGCCTTCCCACTTTCAAAGCACTCGGCATGATGAAGCACCATATTTTAGGGAATTGTTTTCTGTGTTCCAACACAATTTAATGAAAATTTTATACAACATATTGAGTACCAATTAGTAACCCTTATTCTAGAGATCAGACATTATAATAAAAGATAAAAAATAGGCTATATAGTTAATTATCTTTTACTGAGAATTTTCCCCAAAACTCAGTGGCTTAACACCATAGGTATTATCTCACTGTTTCTGTGGGCCAGGGGGCCGGGTGTGGCTCAGCTGGGTCTTTTGGGTCAGAGTCTCTTCCCTGGCTGCAGTCATATTAAGGCTCCACTGGGATGGATTCACTTCCAAGATCATTCATGTGGTCATTTGCAGAATTCAGTTTTTCATGGGCCATTGGGCTGAGGACTTCAATTTCTCACTAGCTGTTGCCTTGCATGTGAGCCTCTCTAAGCTGCCTCTCATGACAGAGCAGCTGGCTTCATTCGAGCCAGCAAGCACAAAGAGTTGGAGAGAACATCCCAGCAAGACAGAAGTCGGAGTCTCCCATGCCTAGTCTTGGAAGTGACAGCCCATTCCTCTTGACTATTCTGTTAGAAGCAAGTCACTAGGCCCAGCCCATTTTCAAAGGGAGGAGATTACACAGTAACATGAATTGAAGGAGGTGGGACTCACTGGAGCCGTCTTAGAGGCGGCTGACACTTTAAGGAAACAACTTGGACTAACCCTTGAAATTAACTAGGTTAAGATTTGAGCAAATATGAGAACTTATCATAATGGAACAATGGAACTAATGGAAAGAGAGTGGAGATTCATCTGATGAAAGGCAGGGAGTAGCTAAATTCTGGTGTTCAGCTTTTTAAGTTCTGCCTCCCCAATCTCTCAACTACTCAATAATTTTTACTTTACAAAAAAAGGGAAAGCAAATAAATAGTTTTTATTTCTTGTTTTTCATTATAAAAGATATATACACACACAGACATACAGAAACACACACACATATAGAAACACACACACATACAGAAACACACACACATACAGAAACACACACACACAGAAACACACATTAGTGCTACTGCTGTGGTGAGCTGTTTAGTGCCACCTGCAATTCCCTTTAAGCATTTGAAAAAGCTTCACAATGCATACTTTTAGAAACTGTTTATGAGCAAATTAATAGCTCAATAACTTCTCTATGTTAGGGGATTACTTGGGATGACAATCATTCACCCTTTTTCAAGTTTATAACCAACTGAAAAAATATTAGAATAAGACAGAGATCAAAATGTTTTATAATTGGAAAAGCTGGATTTGAGAAAGCAGCTTGGACCTGAGGTCAAGGCAAGCTTCCTGTTCCCCGAGCCTGTTCATGGCCAAGCAGCTCAACAGGGCTTCTCCCTCCATCTTGCCCTTGCCTCTCACAGGGACAGGGCACTTGCCATGGGACACGTGAAGGTAAGGGGGGTGTTCACAGCTAGCAGGCAGGCTGGGTCTGAAAGATGAAGAATGAACAGAAACGTGTGCCATGGTCATTTACCCCAATTTTAACGAGGAAACAAATTATTTCTCCCTGTGGGGAAAGGAAAGGGATCAGAAGTGATCATGTCTACCTGCACTGATCCATTCTGGAGAGTGACATGGAATTCCTTCTGCCACAAGAAAAGGCAGGAATTGGGGCAACAAGATTCCCTCTTCAAAATATAATCCTTTTTATTCTTTTTTAAAATTTAAAGAAAAGGTTGTGTTACTAGTGTGTCCAAGGAGGATTTCTGATGAGACTTCCAACCGCCAGTGGGTAGAGTCTGGTATGGGACCTTGTCCTAGGGGGTGTGGCATCTTAGGTTTTCCTTTTTGTTTCCTTTATAATTGATTTTTTTCATCAGAAGTGCTCATCATTGAAATGATCATGCTCATCATTTAAAAAAAACCAAATATATCAAGTATGAAAGTTCTTCTCAATTCTCTCTCCAATCCTACTCTCCAGTGAGAAGAGTTTGATTTGTCCTCCTGGACTTTTTTCCTGTGCATTTGGAAACATGCACCCTCATGTACACACTCATAAAATAACACATTTCTTCACAAATGATATCACACATTTGCTCAGCAGGTTGCCTTTTCATTCAGCAAAATATCACAGGCATCTTTCTACAGGTGCACATAATAGATATCCTGAATATTCAATTGCTTTTATGTGCCATGATATATTTAACTAGTCCCTAATGACATTTAGGTTGTTCCCACTTATTTTGCTACTATGAACAGTGCTACAATACATATGATTGTGTAAACATAATCTTAAGGGTAAGAATTCTAGCATAATTTACTTTAATTTTGAATCAAATTTAAATTTTGATAGGTGCTATCAAGTAGCCTCTAAAACACTGTAAGAATCTACACCCACCTTCAATAAAGTAGAAGAGTAACTATCTCCCAACATCTTCGCCAACCTTGAATATTATTCATTTTTATAGGTAAAATGGTATTGATTTTAATTTGCATTGAAGTTATCACTAGTAAGGACAATATTTTATTTCCCCAAGCGTTTAGTCCATTTACATTTTTCTTCTTGAATTGCATTCACAATCTTTACTATTTTCCTTTTGAATACATGTTTAACTTCATCTCCAAAAAATGTTACTACTCAGTCTTTCCTATTGTTTTTAAATGGTAGGGACACATCTAAGTATTGAATCTAAAATATTTGTTTTACATACAACTTTTCAGGAAACTTTTGGTGTGTGTTAAATTTGTAAGATGAAGAAAAACAGCATTTTGTGGGTTTTGTTATGAATTTTTATAGCAATCACAATGGATTGTACTGAAAGTAAGTGGAAAAAACATCTGTTCCCCAAAACTAATGTTGGGTCTGGGCATCATTTCCAGTTCTCATTTTGTCTCTTGGAAAAGTTAATACATTGTGGCTTAATCCTAAATTAAAAATATTGGTTTTATGGCTTCAAAAGCTTTCCAATGTATTGCAGAAATGATATTTGCAAACCTCTAGAATTATATAAATGGATTTTCACTAAGTAGGTTTCAAAATTGTTATTCTTTTCTTACAGTGCCTTTATCTCTGAAGCAGAAAAAAAGCCCAAGATGTTGAACCAAACTACTTTAGATAAGAAGCGACTTACGCTCTGTTGGCAGGAGCTGGTATGTGAAAATCTATTTATACTTTGTGGACAGAGTTAAAAATAAACCTCACGGATGAGGCATAGTTCACAGACCAAATGAGGATAAGGTTTAAAGGTCATACATTTTTGGGATGCAGAGAGAAGAGTGAGAAGGGAACATTTGTTAAGCTGGAAAGAAATGAACATTTATTGAAGGTTTATAAGGATGAACTAGAAGCCCACTGGTCCTACTTCCTATTCTGATGGAGAATAGGTGCCCTCTAGCTCATTTTCTTGACCTTCATATTTTGTTAAAGGCAGTAGACTTGCTTGGCCCTGTGCCCCACAAGCCAAGAGATCAAAAGAAATAACTGTGCTCCTTGACTTCAGGTTCTTCCTATTGAGAATTGTGTTAAAATTTCTAAGCGCTTCTTGAGAACAGGTCAGGAGTTGATACCCCTCTGTGTCCTGGGAACCTGCATGTACTAGGTGCCTAATAGTTGCCCAGTTCTTCTTTAATGACTGGTGACTAGAATTGCCAGAACAAGTCAGGCCCTGGATTATCTCAATTGGAAATGTCAGTTCCAGCAAGGGCACCAAGGGACATTTCATGTGAGGCCAGGATAATTCTGCAAAGAAAGATTACTCAGTGCTTGACTTCTCAGGGACATTTTAAAGTATGAGTGGGGCTCAGAGAGATTAAATGACTTTTTCTAAAGATCACAGCTAGTTAACTGTAGTCCAAAAACTAAAACCCAGGTCTCCTAACTCCTCATCCATCCTTCTTCCCAGAATGCTGCTTTTCTGTCCTCTGGAACATTTCAGGGAGGCTAGATTCCCACCATCAATAAGACCTTCTTCCTATGCTGGCTTTTTTCAGCACCTCTGGCTGAAGTGCTATCTCTGCAGCTTCCCTCTGCTCCATGTTTTCTGCAGAGTTCTGTCTTCACATTGTCTGACAGCCCTTGGCCTGATTATTTCAATATCTTTTTTAGTAGCCTAGGTCTCCCTCCTCATCTCTAGACCTGCATTTCCAGCCTCCTAGTGGGCATCTCCATGCTTATATCACCCCAAACTCTGTGTATCCTACTGAGCCCATCACCTTATCTCAACTTGTTCAACATCCTGCATTGGTACCACCAGCTAGACCGACTGCTCAAACAAGAGGGCTAAGCTTCAACATTGGCTCTTTGTCTCTCACCTTAAGTAGCCATTTGAATACTAGGTCCTGTAGATTCTGCCTCTTAGTGACTCTGGAATGAACTCCACTTCTTCATCTTCACAGTCACTGCCTAAACTGAGTTTCTTAGCATCTCTGTTCTAGAGTATTGCAAAAGTCTTCCTCTAATCCATCTTCCATACCACAACCAGCATGATCTTTCTAAAACACAAGCCTGATTAGATCATTATTCAAAAAAATCATTGGATTCTCTCAATCATTCATAGGATAAAGTCTAAATCCCTTTTGCATGATATATTGGGCTGTTTAATGTCTGGCCCCAACCTAGCATCCCAGTCTTATCCCTCTTTAGTTTGTTCCCATGTATCTATGCTCTGACAATTTTGAATCCTCGATGATTATGTATATTCACATGTAACTGTTCCCTCTGTCTTCTTACTCTCTGATGAATTCTATTCACATTTTAAAATTCAGCTCATATGTCATACTCTCCAGGTAACCAGCTTTGCCCCTGTCTAGTACCACAGTGCTTCATGCATTTTAATTATGTGCATGTATTGTTTTCACCTCACCAACCTGTCAATGTCTTGGGGAAATGAAGCATTATTTCTTCTCTCTGTCCCAGACCTGGGCTCCAAGCATAGTGCCTGGTAGATAACAGGTACGCATTTCTTCCAGTCAACATTAGCAGAGGCTTCCTACGTGTCACACACTCCTCTAGATGCTGGGAGCAAAGCTAGAAGAACTTGGTGCTTGTCCTTGAGGAATTTCTAGATTGAGTAGTTCATTCATTCCATAAACATTTATTTAACACCTATGTGCCAGAAACTCGTTAGACACTGAGCATACAATAAGGACAAGACAGAGGAGGTCCTTGTCCTACTGAAGTTTACACATTAATGGTTAAGATAGAAGAGAGACAGGTAAACAGAAAATACGCAAAAATTATTACAGATTGTGATTCAAAAGGAAATTCTAAAAAGCCACAGGGATCAGGAAGACATGGGGGCATATGATGCAGTGGTGACATTTAAGTTGAGGCCTTAAAGATGAGAAGAAACCAGCCATGTAGAGACCAGGAAGAACATCTGAGCAAGAGGAAACACCAAGCATACCAGCTAATATGGTTTGGCTGTGTCTCCACCCAAATCTCATCTTGAACTCTCACATGTTGTGGGAGGAATCTGCTGGGAGGTAATGGAATCATGGGGGCAGGTCTTTCCCATGCTGTTGTCATGATAGTGAATAAGTCTCATGAGATCTGATGGTTTATAAAGGGTAGTTTCCCTGCACAAGCTCTCTTTCTTTGCCTGCCACCATCCACGTAAGATGTGACTTGCTCCTCCTTGCCTTCCACCATGATTTTCCCCATGAGGCCTCCCCAGCCATGTGGAACTGTGAGTTCTCCATTAAACCTCTTTCCTTTATAAATTACGCAGTCTCGGGTATGTCTTTATTAGCAGCATGAGAAAAGACTAATACACCAGCTTTAGGATGGAGAAAGTTTGTCCTGTTCTAGGGCTTCTGAGGACCAGTGTGCCTGAGGCACAGTGAGCGAGGAAGGAATATTATAAGATGAAACAGACAGTGGCAGGGCCAACTCACACAGGGCCTTAGAAGTCACTGTAAATACTTTTTTCCTAAGCACATAAATGTGAGCTGAACAAATGAATCAAACACTTTTGGGTTTTCCAACCACTTACACTGAACTTTCTGGCAGCATTTCTCATATGATGTCTTCTTGGTCTGAAAGCAGCCACCATACCTCCAGGAAGAGGTGGTGAGTGCAGTGGTTAAGCACTGGACTCTGGATGTAGCTGGGGGTCAGCTCTGGCTCTGCCATTCAGTAGCTGCATTACTGCTTCCTCAGCTGTAAAATGGAAATAATAGAACCTACTTCATAAGACTGTTATGAGGAGTAACAAAGGATTAATACAGTGGTTAGAATATTGCCTGGCACAGAGGAACATCTCAGTACACCTTAGGCTGCTATTATCGTAGTTGTTGTTGTTAAATATCAGAAAGCCTCTGTTCTCACACTGCTAATAAAGACATACCCAAGACTGGGTAATTATAAAGGAAAGAGGTTTAATTGACGCACAGTTCCACATGGCTAGGAGGCCATGGTGGCCGCCAGTCATGGTGGAAGGCAAGAAGGAGCAAATCATATCTTACATGGTGGCAGGCAAGAGAAGTGCCAAGCAAAAGGGGGAAAAGCTTCTTACAAAACCATCAGATATCGTGAGAACCTTACTCACTATCACGAGAACAGCATGAGGGTAAACGCCTCCATGATTAAATTACCTCCTACCAGGTCCCTCCCATGATATGTGGGGATTATGGGAATTACAGTTCAAGATGAAATTTGGGTGGGACACAGCCAAACCATATCAACTTAGATTCAGGTGCTGGTTAATAAGCCATGTAACCTTGATAAGCCTGTGGCCTTTCTGGACCTCAGCTTCTCATCTGTCAAGCGGAGGTGAGATGATATTACTGCCTCCATAATCCTGTGAAGTTTCCACTAAGGGGGCAGCGTGCACAGCGGCAGACCCTGGAACAGTCCACGTGAGTGGCTCAGTGTGGAGCTCACCAGGACCCTCACGCCTCTTCAGCAACAGGATACTGCTTGTTGTCCAGATCTCTAGAAAGACCTACACTGACTCTTGTCTTGTTTTAGGAAGCAATGTGCAAGGAGGCCAAGGGGATCATTCAGCAGCAGAAGAAAAAGTTACCTCTTGATGAAATGATTCACGAAGCCCAAAACTTTGTGGAAAAAATCCGCTTTCTTGTTGACGAGGTAATTGACTCTAAAGGCAAACCTCATTTGGAAGGTTAGACTGAATGTGTTCCAAGGAGGTTTGACCGGTTGGTACGGGTGAAATACGAATCAACGTTTTTCTCCCCAGCCCTAGTGGGCTGCGCAGGCACTCCTAGTTTAGAGAAGAGATTTTTAAATTAAACCAAAAATGTACAGCTTTATTGATTTTTTTTAAAACAAAACCTGAGCCTTCAGCAAAGTAAAAGGCACATTTGCTAATGGGCTTGGGTGAAGTCAACATACGCACCGGGAACTTTGATAGGTTTTCAACTATAAAAGGATTTAAATTCGTGCCCAGTAAAGGGCACGGCAGCTTCTCATTTTAAAGTTAGTTGTAAACAGTGTCTTCTGGTGACTTCTAGAATGACCTGTTTAAAAAGAACCCTCATATTTGCATCTGTCAGATACTGACATTCGTTCTTG